CCGTGAGTTGTGAAACCTTATCTCCTCAGTAGATTCTTTAAATTCTCAAGGACAATGAACAAACCCCTACTAATTTATCACACCTCTTACGTTCGAAATCTTGTTGAACTCTAGCGCCGCTGTCGGCAACGGCCACTAGGTGGGGCGCCTCCCTTTACCGGTCGCAGATCCAAAGTACAAGAAGATCATGTCGGGGTCACCAATTTGTTATAAATGAAGTCTCAACTCTGAATTTAGTAACATAAAAGAATATTTATAAAAGGCAAGTAAACAGCGCTGGGCGCGCAGGGAGTCTATGCTCTACCAACATGCACACGCAACCGTCGAACTTTCCAAATATATATAGGACATTGCTGTTACATATTTACAAGAAACCCGAGTACGCCTATACATATGGATATCCTATCCCCGCTTCATATTATAATTATTTTTGTGGTGGTCGTTGTGGGTGAAAGGCTCACGGTTTCCCCATCACCATTAGCAACCTTTTGTTCCAGACTGCAGGAGCGGCTTCGACTGTCTCCCTCTTCTTCTGCACATGCTCTGCCCACCACAAGGTTCCCGAAAGCAACAAAACGTGATTGCTTTTCCCGCGTTTTGTTAACACTTGAAACCACACTAAACAATAAATGTTAACAGTTCTAACCAGCAACCCCCCCCCCCCCACGCAACTTCCGTGCATTAACAGAGGGGAAAACAAGCAATCCCAGATGGCAGGGTGTCGCCTCAATCACCCTTCTTTATTTCCTCTAAACTCTTTACATTCCTGATGACCTCATTCTTAAAGAGTTTGATGTTATCACCAACCACAAGGCTTTCCGATCCCCATTGCCACATTCCCAAATCTCCCCCTTCTTTATTAATATCAACCATTTTTCTGACATATAACAATTCCAAAAACAAGTCTCAGGTAATAGAAGTTACACATAATTTTAGTTATGTTGTGCTAAAACTGCCATCAAAAATCTAGATTTTTGTGCATAATACCACAAATTAAAGTGTATTTTCTTTGTAAATTTAAAGAGTTATTTTTTTTATATATGCCAATTGATTTTGTTTCAAACTGTTATGTATGGAGTGGTAATTAGTGTCGAGAAAATGGTTGATATTAATAAAGAAGGGGGAGATTTGGGAATGTGGCCATGGGGGTTGGAAAGCCCCGTGGTTGAGATATCATTAGACTCTTAACGACGAGGCCATCAGGAATGTAAAAGAGTTTAGAGGGAACAAAGAAGGGTGATTCAGGAGACTCCATGGGTTGCTTGTTCTACAGCCATTAAGGCATGGAAGTTTCTGTGTGTTTGCTGTTGCTGTTATTTGCAAAGTTGTTTGACCAATGAAAAGTTGTTTTGAAAAGAACTGCTGTGGAGAGAAGGGTATAAGAGGGGAGCCTGCCCTCAAGATAAAAAAGGCAACACGATGAAGTTACATCAATAAAGAAGCAGGAAAAAAGAAGTGAAGAGGAACAGGCTGGCAGAATGGAGACCAGGACGGGAACAGGCACATTGATTGCCTCAAGAAGATAGGTTTGGCCAAACTCAGCAAACTGCTCAGAGAAGCTCATACAGAAAGTCGCTGGAAATAGGTGCACCGGAGCTGGAGAGAAGCTCAAGCTGAGAGAAGCAGACCCACGTGCACAACTGCCTCTCGCTGGTAAGCAGTTGCGCATTATGGGGAATCATACGTCCTTTGTAACAAAGACCATCCTGGTAACCTTACAGCTTATTCTCCTTATTAACAGACAGTTTATGATCCTGAAACATGGGACCAAATTGAGGTCAAGGTGTGGGACTCTGCAACTAAAAATGACTGGGATTGCTCAGCACCTGGCAAGCAATCTCTGAGGCCTTAAAGAGCCATGTGGAGCCACAATCACAAACGTGTGGCTTGCCAGACAGTGAGGGAGCTGCGGGCTCCTTTACTGATCCGACTGCTACGCCATCGGCCCCTCTGCTGCTACAGCTATCGAAGGCTTTTGCTGTTACACCCCCTGCTGACCTGAACGTGCCTTTTGACCCAGGCCTATTGGCCTTGAAAAGGAGATGGATATGTTTTTCTTCAGTCTGGGAAGAACAGGATACATAAGGCCCAAAGACCGAGTTGCTTGACAACTTAAAGCGAGACATATTGTTCAAAAGGAATGGAAAATGGAGACTGTTAAGTCATGGAACTTAAAGGATTGTTTGTTCTTTCCTGATTGTACCTATGTATAGGCATACTTGGGTTTAGTATGTAAAAGCCATGTTCTATATGTTTAGAATGTTTGATGTTCGTGTGTGCGTGTTGGTGGAGCATAGACTCCCCACACACCCAGTGCTGTTTACTTGCCTTTTATATGTTTTATAAATATTTGTTTTATAAATATTACAAAATTCAGATTGAGTTGAGACTTCATTTATAACATAGACGAAGGCCCGTCCCAGTTGGAGGGGGTAAGTTGCCTAAGGCAAGGCAACTTACCCCCTCCATTGCTACATTGTCTGTCAAGAAAGACAGAAGGATTATTGTCATGGGGGACTCCCTTTTGAAAGGAACAGAGGGCCCAATATGCCGACTGGACCCAACCGACAGGGAAGTCTGTTGTCACCCTGGCTTTACGTACAGACTGGGCTATGAGATGCTGGAGAGCAGCCCCACAGAGAGGGATATGGGGGTTGTGGTTGACAGCAAGTTGAATATGAGCCAACAATGTGCCCTGGCAGCCAGGAGGGCCAACTGTATCCCGGGATGCATCAAGCACAGCATTGCTAGTCGGTCGAGGGAGGTGATTGTCCCGCTCTACTCTGCACTGCTGCGGCCTCACCTCGAGTACTGTGTGCAGTTCTGGGCACCACAGTACAAGAAGGACATTAAACTGCTGGAGAGTGTCCAGAGGAGGGTGACGAAGATGCTAGATGCTGATGAAGGGCCTAGAGGGGAAGACATATGAGGAGCAGCTGAGGTCACTTGGCCTGTTCAGCCCGGAGAAGAGGAGGCTGAGGGGGGACCTCATCACGGTCTACAACTTCCTCGCGAGGGGGAGTGGAGAGGCAGGTGACCTATTCTCTGTAAACACCCATGATAGGACCCATGGGAATGGTGTTAAGCTGAGGCAGGGGAAGTTTAGGCTGGACATCAGGAAGAGGTTCTTCACCGAGAGGGTGGTTGCACACTGGAACAGGCTCCCCAGGGACGTAGTCACTGCACCAAGCCTGTCTGAATTTAAGAAGCGATTGGACTGTGCACTTAGTAACATGTTCTAAATTTTTGGGTAGACCTGTGCATTGCCAGGAGTTGAATTTGATGATCCTTATGGGTCCCTTCCAACTCAGGATATTGTATGATTTTGTGAGATAAAACTTAAGAGTACATTTTCATCTGGAATTAGTACTTCAGCACTATACATGTATAATTTTATAAGTTAGATCTGCTGAAAATTTTAGATGCTGCATATTGAAATTGAGTAATGTCAGGTAAAAAAGTATATTGCCATTGAGTTGCAGCTTTCGTTGAATATGTTTCAAACTGCTAGTATGTCCTACACCAAACTTTTATTGGAAAATGCATCATCTGCTTTATTGCATGTTTCATAAAAACTGTTTACAAATGCCTGTTAATTAGTGTTGCATAGTATGTCCCTTAAACATAGGTTTTCTTTTTCTGTTTCATATAATTCTACTGGATTTTAGTATTAATGTATTTTGCTTCAAGTAATCCTGTTACATTATTCCCCACCTTTTTCTAAAGATTAGTCATCGTGAGTTGAGCAAACACCATTAAAACATATTTACATGATGATATCTTGTTCAGTTGGGCCCTCAGAACAAATAACCAAATTGCCAAATCATCTCAAGATGTGATTTTGCTTTTCATGTGTTCTTATGCCTTTGTATCAGAAGTCATATTGTTACACGACTTTTATGAGAAAGCCTGTTGTGAACAGGAGAAATTAGGATTAAAGAATTATTTTTCTGCAGATAGTTGCTGTGATATATTAAATGTAAACTTATTTCTAAATATATTTTTACTGATAAATAGCAGACCTATTAAAATCCTGAATTCTAAATATAGGAAAAGAATAGCGTACTTAATGCTAAAACTTAAAATGGATAATTCCATTTTTCAAGATTATCCATAATAGTACAGTTGAATAAAAACTTTTTAAATTTACCTGCCATACACTTTTATCACAGAATCACAGAATTTCTAGGTTGGAAGAGACCTCAAGATCATCGAGTCCAACCTCTAACCTAACACTAACAGTCCCCACTAAACCATATCCCTAAGCTCTACATCTAAACGTCTTTTGAAGACTTCCAGGGATGGTGACTCCACCACCTCCCTGGGCAGCCTGTTCCAATGCCTCACAACCCTTTCAGTAAAGAAGTTCTTCCTAACATCTAACCTAAAACTCCCCTGGCGCAACTTTAGCCCATTCCCCCTTGTCCTGTCACCAGGCACATGGGAGAACAGGCCAACCCCCACCTCTCTACAGCCTCCTTTAAGGTATCTGTAGAGAGCGATAAGGTCGCCCCTGAGCCTCCTCTTCTCCAGGCTGAACAAGCCCAGCTCCCTCAGCCGCTCCTCGTAGGACTTGTTCTCCAAATGTAGTAGAGAAGTCTGTATTTATAGTCTGTAGTAGAGAAGTCATGTATTTATGTAGTAGAGAAGTCTGAAGAGGGCAAAATGACTGCTTAAATCAGAAAGAAAACCATTGGATTTTAAATTGTGGTTTTGGTGTTCTCTCATTTAATAATTTAGTTTTTCTTTTACCCTGGAGAGTATACCATATATGTTGCTGCCTCTTATTTAGGGGGTGGTGATAATGCACTGGTGAAATCTTACGTTTATCATGCATAGATTCTGTTGATTTCTGTTTCTTAGTTATTTGTTGTTTTTTCTTTATTTTTTCCTCCTCCCCTTCATTTGTTCATGTCTTGGTTGGCGTTTGGTGGTGTATAACCGTGATTACATTACCTTCGCAATAACAATTGGTCGTCTTGGTTACGTTTGTCCTCAAGAGGTGGCCCCCGTGCTACAGCAGTTTATAAGACCCTGGTGTGTATTATTCAATCTTCTTTTCTAAAATTCATGTTTCTTCACTCTTTTCTTTTCTCTATCTCACTTTTAGATATATTTTCAGTTGGTTTCAAAATCTCAGTCCTTAATCATTGACAACCATGTGACTAATCTTGTCCTGTCAGGTATGTGAGTTTTCAGTAGCACCATCATGTATTCTTTATGTTGTGGCTAACAACCAATTTATGCATGGAATAAGATTGTCACATGCTTGTTGTGTTAAAGCTTGACTATGAAAGAGCATTTTAAAATCCACCAGAATGCATGTCAATACTGTAAAATTTAAACTGTGCATTACTTAAAATTCAGTATGAGACTTGAATAGCTGTAAGGAACGTTATAGACTTTTTATGTATAAAATAGCTTGCTTGCTGCTGTAAAAGTTAAACACATGTTCTGTAAGTCGTATCTGACATAATTCATACTGTGATAACATAACATACACTTCTAATGATGATAGTTCCTATAATATTTTGGATGCATGTTTCTTTTGTATTTAATGGAATGCAGGTCACACTTTCTAATTATATGTAGTGCAACAGGAGAACCAGATTCTAGAGGTGATGCATAATGGGAATATAGTACTAAACACTGTGCAACAAGTGTTTTTCTAAGTGTTCAAAATAATGTCATCTTAGTGTGACTTACTCCATCAAATACTGTAATCTAATTTTGTCCTGACTGAATGAAAAAGTAGTAGAATTAGCTAGGATTTGTTTTCCAATTTATTAGGTGTACATCTCTGCAAAACATAAGGAACAACGAGGAAAAGGATTCAGCGTTTCATGGGATATGTACAATGATCTCAGTCAACTCCAGTGGAGTAGTCCAAGTAAGATGCATGAACAGATCTTTTCTCTCTTCCATAGTGTAATAAATGGCTAAGTCCCAAATAGGATTACAATCAAAGTTTTACAATTTATTAAACGAATAGAGGTAAGCAAACAGTGCTGGGTGCGCCGGGAGCCTCCGCTCCACCAAGACGCACACCAGTTACGTCAGGCGGCTTATTTTTATGCTCCTAGGCTAATACATATTAATTACTACTTCTAGAAAAAGCAGGGTTATTATAATTAGTTTCTGGAATCCAAACCCTCCCATTGGAGCATGCGTATCAGTCTCCGGTGGTCCCTCTGGGGGTCTCTGGGGTCTTTCGTGCTGAAGGCTCATAGTCTTCCTCCCAGGCTTTTTTTCTTGTCCTTCTTCTTTGTCCAACTTGGCTGTATGTCAGAGACTTGTGCAGCATCCCCTGCAAGCTTTGTCTTTTAGTTGTCCTTCAGCTTTCCCCTTCTCCTTAATCTCCTGGCCAGATATCAGAGACTTGCATAGTGTCCCATGCAATAGTCATAATAGTTAGCAGTTATTCTGGACCCCCCCCAGATATCAGAGACTTCAAGGAAAAGCCTACAAATACATTTCCCTTCAAGCTCTCTATTGACACGAATTGCTAAAACATTCCTCACAATCCCTTATCTTCTTTTTAATATCCTCAATTTGTGTCCCTTTTTCAAATTTTGCCAGTAACAACTGGATTTCATCAGTCCGTTCTTGGTGGGTCCAATTCTTAAGCATCATTACTGACATATCACCTTCCTTCTCTACTGATGTCATCACAAATTGCGTACTATTTATTTTCCGGCACATCAATAGTGTAAAGCAAGGTATCATACAAGGTATAAACAATAACATCATTACACCACATAAAAATAAAAATAACATCCTTTTAACCCATGGTTCACCGGGCAGCCATGAAAACAAATCCCAATCCATACCCTTCCAAGTTTGTGCTGGGACGTGGGCTAATTTTCTAATTTCTTTTGTTATCTGTTTAACCACTTTCCCGTTATCATCAATTTGTAAACAACAATTAGAATCGTTCAGCTTTCCACACACTCCCCCCTCTTCTGCTAGTAAATAGTCTAAAACCATTCTATGTTGAAAGATAGCATTCCTCATCTGGGTGGACCGATCAGCCAAAAGATCCAAAGCCGTCGCTGTTTGATTGGTTATAATTTCAAGGACAGCTTGCAAACTAATTATTCAATTCAAATTATAAATAGGTTCTCGGGCCCCTGATACTACCTCATTCGGGTTCCAGGTAGCCAGTCCATAATGCTCTATGATTCTTTCAGGAGGCCATTCATCTTCTCTCCATTTTTTGGGCGCTACCCCTGGCTAAGAAAGCATCAATAGATCGTTTTTCTCTATTCAGATCATCATATAATTTTATTCCTAATTTATTTCCTTGTATTTGTGACAATAAAAAGAACAAAGGTCTTATGTATCCCACATAGCATATTCCTGACCAGTCTTTTGGTAGCCTTTTGTAGGCATGTTTGCCACACACAATAATGTCCCTTTAGAGCCCACGTCCCATTTGGAAAAGGACCATCCCATTCACTTTTATTCTTTGGAACATGAAAATACAGAGTGTTTTCATTACCGAGTGATCCTGTTACAATGTCCGCCCCATTAGTACTCGTATATGTACACCTCCAAGCTCCCGCACTGGATTCCCACTTACAATTACAACCAAGTTCTCCTTGGCGGCTTGTCATATTACGAGCTGACCAGAAATGTTTAAAGAACACTTGTTTCCCATTTTCATCTTGCCACCTCCAGCGGTAGACCCTTACCACACGCTGTTCCCTAGTGGTGTTATCACACTCAGGATCTGAACATCAAATTGTCCCTCTGCTTGTGCTCTTGCCATGGTTTTACATCCAGATCCAAAAAATTTGTTATATGAGCATTTCATCCAAGTCCTGTTTTTCAGCTGGACATACATGTATGTAGCATTCCCTTTTCCTTTATATGCTGTACAGTTTATAGGTCCACATTCAGGATCAGTACAATCATATCTGGGAGATAGAGTCCAATTACAAATGCTTTTTTTGCCTCTACTGTTCCTGTTCTGTTTAAACAGTATATACCCCGATCTGACGAGTGCAATTGCCACGGGCTTTCTTCCTCTTTCCAAAATTGTGTCCCATTATGAACTTCACTCAAATTACTAACCCACCACTTGGGTTCGACCGGGCCAGCTACCCAGGGCCAACTTTCAGTTCCCCCCCGGTCCTCCACAAACCCAGCAGTTACTAAGGTTAAAGGCCTTGGCTACTTCCTCCCCCAGAATGAAAATGTTATTCTTCCATTCTCGCCCATGGCTCAATTGCCCCTGTAAAAATAGTACCAGGAAATATAACATTTCTTATCCTTCTGTGTCGTCCAATCTTGAGGGTGTGAGAAATGCATTCCATCAAGGGGTTGGGCCCGCTTCCAGGATCGATTTGAGCTTGTGTTACCGTTCAGCCTTTGGGGGTGATCCAGCTCCTAAAAAACTAATTACAATTTTATATGGGTTTTAAAAAGTTCTTATTTATTATTTATTATTATTTTTTGTTTGTTTGTTTTTCTTTCCCCGGGACAACCCGGCCTTAGTACGGGAGAAGTCCAGTCGAGGCCCTCTCACTCGGCAGTCAATACCCATAGGGGTTGCCTCCCTCGGTAGACCATACACACCGCAGTGGAGGGTCCTGCCCCGGTCTTGCCTTCTCCCTTTCATCCCTTCAGGCTTTTCCCCTTTATCTGGTGCCCTTAATTCATGAAGAGCCTCGTTGCCAGAATACTAGTCCCTCTTTAGCTTTAGTTTCAGTTCCCCAGAAGCGGACTCAACCCTCCAAGCTTCGGTAGTTATTGGTCCTTTTATTCTGGATGCATGGGTCCAACCCCTTTCTGTGGTTCTCACAGCTGTTTCAGTAGTAAGTAAAACAAGGTACAGTCCCTCCCCTCGGGGGTTCAGTGATTCTTCCCTCCAGGTTTATTTATTAAGACCTTGTCTCCTGGTTGTATCTTATGAATAGCAAATCCTAAAGGTGGTGTTTGAGCCATCATTCCAATTTCTCTTAGCTCTTGTAATCTCCTTCCAATAGTAATTATATATTTCTGGATACTACGATCCTCAACTACATTGTTCCCTAGAGGCATCCCTTGAGAATAAGGCATACCATATAACATTTCATATGGCTATAATCCAGTCTCACTGTGTGGTTTAGTTCTTATGTTTAAAAGTGCCAACGGTAAGCATTTCGTCCAGGTAAGCATTTGTGTCTTGATCATTAATTTAGCCAATTGTTTTATTGTTTGATTCATTCTTTCTACTTTCCCTGAGCTTTGTGGGTGCCACGGAGTATGGTATTCCCACTGAATACCTAATGATTGACATAATAATTTTATTATTTTAGAAGTAAAGTGTGTGCCCTGATCAGAATCAATGTACTGGATTATTTCATATCTAGGTATCAGGTGTTCTAATAGATTTTTTACCACCATTTGTGCCGTAGCTCATGCTATGGGATAAGCTTCTACCCATTGTGTTAAATGATCTACTATTACCAATAGATATTTTATCCTCCCTACTGGCACCCAAACAGGACCAAACAGGGTATTTAATGGGACTGCCACAAACCCGATGCCTCCCTGATAGCCTCCAAGGGTTACCTCTCTTAAGGGATATAGAGAAGCTCTCTCAGATACAGCAGTCCTACTTCTCATACATGCAACCGGAGGTCAGTCTAATTCCGGTGCTGTTGGTGGTGGAGGCAGGGGCAACAGTGGTACTGGTGGAGATACCACGGCCACCAGAGGGGGAGCCGCCAGGGGTGGATTGTTAGAATATGGAGGTGGTAGGTTATCCAACGGCTCCCATTCATCATCTTTTTCTTTTTCCTGTTTTCTTCTTCTTCTTCAAATTTCTCATCTGCTTTTAGTGTAAATATTGAGGCTGGAAAAGGACGTGAAGTCCTGATCCATAATCCTGCATGATCATTTTCTTCTTGGCTAAAAGGTTTCTTTGAATTAACATGTGTATTTAAGGCCTGGCAAATCCAGTCTTCAAAGGATCCAAAAACAGGCCAAAAGACATGTGGTTTTAAAGGCTCCTTTGGCCATTCTATCATACAATACTGGACCATTTTTAATTTACTTTTTCCTTTTCTGGGTCCCCTATCGTTCCAATTTCCAATCATTATTCCTAATGGATTTTCTGGTGGTATGTCTGGTAATTTGCTCCCTTTCTTCTGGTCCCTGGTCTTTGATTCTGTCTGACCCATCTAGGAATTTTACTACTATTTTCCCACAGCCCTTGGTTACCTTAGTAAGAGTGTCTTGCAGGGGGTTTAGGACCTATCACCCACCCACAAATCCTATAGGAATCCCACCGGCCAAGTCCCTTGCGGGAGATTGGAACCACGGTTAGAAGACCTCCACACTCGCTTCGGAACTGAGTTCCATCTCAGTCACACTCTTACACACACAGGCAACCGAATCCCACCCAACTGAACGGTATACGCCTTAAATACTTACGACTCTGTCGTCTTCGTTCGGATCTTTGCGTGCAGAATTACGGGCAAAAAATAGTGCTGCAGCCGGCAAGGGAGCTCATAAAAATCAAAATTTTTGCTTACCTTTATTCAGGTTCAAGATGTTATTGGTCCCAAACAGGAGCCACCAAAGGGTGGGGCGCTTCTCCTAGATCAAATTAAAATTCAGAAACTGCACTTCTCCGCATTTCACCGCGACTCCACTCCGCATCTCTCAGGTCTCTCCGTGTCTCGCCAGGTCTCAGCCTGTTCAGGCTCCACTTGTTGCAGGAAGAATGGCCGAAAACATGACAGACACTAGTATGGTCAGATCATGCTCTCCCTTTATTACCCGAATAGCCTGACTTTTATAGCAAACTTAACAGGGGTGGATAGTGTCTCACACAAGATTATTGGTCAAAAGCACTCAGACAAACAACTGCACGAAAACAACCCCACCTGCAAGAAAACAACCCCCTTGTGATTAGCAGCCACGTAGATCTCGTCCTTGAAGCCAGCTGCTGGCAACAATATTTTTTAAATTCCTCAATTGGGCGATGTGGGAACACTGTCATGGGAACTTCTCGTAGTCGTCCTGGCAGCTTGGTTTGCTCAGCTGCAGCAAGTCATGGCCTCCTTGCTGTTTCAAAAATCCCTCAACAATATTTAAAATAACTCCATTTTGTTACTTGTCAAGGTTGTTTTTTTTGTGTTGGGGATCTGTTTTTCAGAGGCATTCCAGGCTTTAAAAAAAAAAAAAAAAAACAGACAAAATAATAATAATAATAATAATAATAATAATAATAATAATAACCACCTCTTCATTTTTAAAACTTGGCTAGGGAAGATTCTGTTTCAGCTTTGGATACATTACTTAAATAGCATGACAAGGAAGACATTTTTAAAATGTTAGATGTTATGAATAGAATATGACTTTGCTCTTCAGTCTCCACAGCTCTAAAATAAAGCTACACCAATGTAATGTTTTCCCTTAAGGATCATCTAGTTCCAACCTCCCTGCCATGAGCAGGGACATCTTCGACTAGACCAGGTTGCTCAAAGCCTCATCCCACCTGGCTTTGAACACTTCCAGGGATAGGGCATCCACAACATCTCTGGGCAACCTGTTCCAGTGCCTCACCACCCTCATAGTAAAGAATTTCTTCCTTATATGTAATTTAAGTCTACCTTCGTTTAGTCTAAAGCCATTACTCCCTGTCTTATCACTACACTCCCTGACAAAGAGTTCTTCAGCTTTCTTGTAGGCCCCCTTTAGGTACTGGAAGGGTACAATAAGGTCTCCCCCCAGAGCTTTCTCTTCTCCAGGCTGAACAACCCTAACTCCCTCAGCCAGTCTTCATAGGAGAGGTGCTTCCAGCCACTCGATTGTCTTCATGGTCCTCGTCTGGACTTGTTCTAATACTTCCATATCCTTCTTGTATTGGGGGCTCCAGAGCTGAAAACAGCAATTCAGGTGGGGTCTTAGGAGAGCAGAGTAGAGGGGGAGAATCACCTCCCTCAACCTACTGGCCATGCTTCTTTTGATGCAGCCTAGGATGCAGTTGGCTTTCTGGGCTGCAAGTGCACATTGCCAGCTCACGTTGATCTTCTCTTCAACCAACACCCACTAGATCCTTCTCATCAGGGCTACTCTCAATCCATTCTCTGCCCAGTCTGTATTTGAGCTTGGGATTGCCCCAACCCAGGTGCAGCACCTTTCACTTGATCTTGTTGAACCTCATGAGGTTTGTACAGGCCCATTTCTCAAGCTTGTCCAGGTCCTTCTGGATGGCATCCCTTCCTTTCAGCATGTCAACCACAGCATGCAGCTTGGTGTCGTAAGCAAACTTGGTGAGGATGCACTCAGTCCTACTGTCCATGTTGCTGACAAAGATTTTAAGATCTTTAGTATAGCCTTCTTCTGTTGTCCATTTGTTCTTTCACACAAGTTAAGGGGAGGGGGAAATAAAGTGCATTTATCAACTTAGTGATTAAAGACTAGTGTTTTAATGGTGTCATAAGAGGTGTAATGCATGACAGCAGATGAACTAAGTGCAGGGATTATGGTGTGGCTTTGTTTTTGAACATGTATGATAAACATTCTATGCGTCCCAGAAACAACTTCTGGCTCTACTTGAAGAAATACAGCAGCTTTTTTTCCAAATTTGCAAGAGAAAATTGCAAGTGTGGTCTCGAGTTCGTTGTTTGTTAAGATGATTGTTTCTTGGTACACATACTGAAAGAATTCAAAGTTAGACAAATGTGATGTGGGAAGGGAGAAGTGTATTTCAATACGCTTATGAAACAAAGCTTTTCCTACACTCAGCTAGTTTTATTTCTGTACACTAAGGCATACAATACCTTACTATTATTTCCTATATTAACTGGAAAATAAATGCATTTTTAAAAAGAGTTGTGAATTAGGATCAAAGACTGCATAGTTCATAGAATGAATGTCAAACCATTTCTTTTAGACCTATAAATTGAGGTTTCTAACCTATGTGATTGTTTAATCTTATAGGACTTTATTATTTTTTTTGTGATGCTGTTGCATCATGGATTAACCCAAAAGATGATCTCCGAGACATGTTCTGTAAGGTAATGTTTCTAATATGACAGTATGCACTAACTATGGTTGTTTTGGATCCTCTGTTTCTTGCTTTTTATTTCCAATACTAGGACTTCCCATGTTTGTGGTCACAGAGACTTCTTTGCAAAATAATAAATTTTCAGACAAAACATCATAAAAAATCTGAAGATTTTCTTAAACTTTGTTTTCTTATATGCATTCAGATTATTCCAAACTTCTTTTCTTCTTTTTAATAGTGTTGAAAAGTTCATTTGGGATTTTATTTGAAAGTATAATCATCTTCAAAGAGCTTTTCACAATGCCAGCCTGCTATGTTTTGACTGCATTTGGAAGATATTTTTTTTCATACCACATAAAGAATTTTTTTTTTTTTTTAGAAAATGAGATCTATATGGTTCAAGACTTTTTTTTTTTTTTGGACACAAAGATGCCTATGTTATTTTTGAGAAATATCTAGAAAATTGCAAATATTTCAATGATATCCTGATCTGTTAATCTTGCTTTTGCTGAAGCCTTCTTAGATGAATAAATCTTCAAGAAACTAATGTACATTGATACCCAAGAATACATCCCTAGATAAAGTGTTAATCAAGTTTTAAGCAAAAGAGCTATTTACCTTGTGTAAAATAAGCAGGAAAAAAAAAAAAAAAACACCTAGGAAGTGATAGTAGGAAGTGATAGATTATGTCTTGGCATTAGTGTCTTTTTAACCTAAAACATCCTTATTTTAGTTTCATGAACAAATGCTGTTACTGTTCAGTAGTAAGGCTTCCTTCATATGTTGTAAAGTGAGATATCTCTTTTTAGGAAGGATTTATGTGAAAAGTTAATGATACTTCTTTTAAAGCTAAAACAGGGCATATTTCTTACATGGATTATGGGTCAGCATTGGCACTTTAAGTAATGCCAAGTGTGAACATCAGGACAGAAGCTAGAATTTTTGAATCCCAGCTTGAGGAAAGAAATCTCTTTGTACTAGTTAGGAGACAGGCTAAGAGGCTTTGAAAAGAACATTAGGTTCAGGAAATGCACAGTTGAGTATTCCAGTGTCAGCAGAAGGAAACAACAAATACTTACAAGATTAAAAGAAAGTCCATGATGCTCTCTGTGATGATTAGCCAAAGCAGTTTCAGTGCATGTTTCTGTACTAGTTCTTCAGCACTGAATACTTGCTTCAGTAATTCAGGTTTTTTTTCTTTTCATATTCTTTCTAGCATATTCATATGGGATCTAATGCATTCAAGCTAGACGCAATGTTTTATGGTCACTTGGCAAAAGGACATACTTGCTTTTTACAGTGTATTCTCTTGTGCTTTTCTCCATGCAATATAATATAATATATATTTATATTAATCGGTGTGGATAGCTATATTATTCTACATGCCATGCTTAACTGAAATGTTTTGGTTTTTGTTTTGTTTTTTTTTCTTTTAAGAAAGGCATTACTAAATTTCCTTTGTTTAACACTTCATTTGAATTCTCCAATTAAATATTTGACAGATGCACAGTCCAGGATCTGTGGCCTACTGCATACATTGCTAGAAAATAATGATTATGTATCTACTGTTTAGTAATTCTTTACCTTCCCCCTATTTGTAGATTCTTCATGGATTTAAAAATCAAGTTGGGGATGAGAATTGGAGGCATTTCTCTGACCAATTTCCTCTTCCCTTAAAAGAGCTCCTTGAAGCTTACTACAGAGTTTAACCTCGTGCACTGTAGCTGCAGTCCCATAATTAAAGGTAGGCACACAAATCTTCCTTGCTAAACAGAGCTGTATAACAGACTTCCTCCCTATTTGCATTATATGAAACATAATTGGCTAGATTACAATTTTTCAGATGCACTGGGGCAAATATCTTCCCTTCCTATAAGAAGGGGCAGGGGGGAAGATACTGTGCCTAAATGTTGGTAGCATAGCTGTCGCAAAAGCAGTTGTCTGACTCTGTTACATCTACATTACCAATCTTATCTTGCTACGCTACCATGCATGTTATACACTCACTCTCTTTCCATCTTTCCTTCTGTAAAAAAGTGCCTGATCAGGTTTAGTAAGCAAAGTAATTAATATGATCCTCAAGTCATCATACTAAAGACACAGACTCCCTGTGTGTGTTATGAATAAGTAGATGGCAGATGTGGTCTAAACAGGAATATTTTTTCTAGGATAGGAAAGCAACTTTGTTAAGACATGTTAGCCATAAGAAGTCTAATACATTTCTTATCACACATTAGATGATCTTTGCATTGAATAAAGGATGTTATGCTAATCTGTAACTCTTCTGACTGTAGAGCTTTATGTTTTGGTTAGGTTGATGTGTTCTTTGTTGCAGTGTTCCACTTCAGCAATTCTGAATTGGTGCATACAGTTCTGTCACAGGAAATACTTCAACAAAGAACAGTGATTGTCCATTCTAGAATAGTTATATTATTATGCCACCTTACTTTGTATGTTCTCTGTGCACACTGTATAACGCAAAGTTCTCATGTAGAAAGTAGTCTGATACTGTGAGGAGGTTATTATACTGTCCAAAAAAAGAAGGAAAATTAAGTTTATTCATTTAATTGTTATATAATTTTAATATTTGATGTAGAATTTTTGTACTGAAATTATTGGAGTGAATCATGCAATTCTGTTTTATTATTGAATGGAGAACTATTTAAAGTCAGCCTAAATTTTTCAGAGTTAGCAATATAAGAAATACTGTTTTAATTACATCTTTGATCTGAACAATGGACTAAAAATAAAACAACTTCAAACATTTATGTGTTTATCTATTTTAGTTTTGCCATAAGGTTTGTTTGTTTTTCCTCCTAATGAGGAAGAATGCAAAATGATAAAATTCTCAGTTTGTATTGAGGTACTGAGGGAGATGCCTTGTGGTATGTTTTTTGTCTGTTTGTTTTGTTTTTAATCCACCTAAAGATCAAATCATTAGGTTAATAGAAGGTATGTTTAATATTCTTTTTCAATGTCATAACTACCACATAATTTTGTACTAAATGGGCAAAAGCTTGTTAAAATATATGACTGCTTAAATCTTAAGCTTAGCCACAGTAGTGGGACTGAAGGTATAGCTTTAAAGCATGCATTGTTATTTCATGGATAATAATCTTACCTGGTATAAATACAATCTTAAAAACAAATTTGTGCCTAGATTTTCCCTTTGAAGGTTGGTACCTACTGCTTTAAAAAAAGGCAAAAAAGCTCTTTGTTTATGCACAGGTCTGTAAGTTAAGATGCAAAGTAAGATTTAACTATACCTCTATCTCTTCTTTTTACAGGTCCTTCAGTCTGGGGGTCTATGAGGGAGTCTCTGCACCCAGGGAAATATTACCCTTTACCGGGGGGAAGGGTAAACCAGTAGTGAACACAGTACAGTCCCAACCATACTGGGAGGGACGGGAGGGAAGTTGCTGTCACTGTATTAAGTCAATGTTGGGAAATGTTTAAACAGCTGGAGTCTTTGTAAGTTGAAATCTATCTCCTATTACAACTCTGCAATGGACGTGAAGAAGAAGGAAAAAAGTATTCACAAAACAGCACTTCCTGGAATATTGTGGGGAATTGTACCAAAGCAAGAAATGCATAATTGAACTATAGGGATATGTGAAGAGGAAAACTATTTTGCACACAACAAAGGAAACCTAAGAATGGGGGATCACAAACAGTAAAAGGGTTTGTTTTTTTTTTTTTTTTTTTTAAGTAAGGTTTTCCTACATTATTTCATCCTGCTTGATGGGATTCCTAGGTATCTTCATGTTAATGAAGAACTACGCAAATGAACCTAGTACAGTTAAAATGCAGCTTGTGTCTGTATTAGGAACAGGCACTTGCAGTGTACAATATAGAAACCCCATTGTAAACTAATAAAGGTTAATTTGGACAAAATGAAGCAACCTGCAAGCTGCCAAGTGAGTCACTCCTTTCGGTTTTGCATATTTTTTTAAATTTAAAGTAGTAGATATGATATTTGATTATTGTACTTCATTAGGTTTAATTTCTAGACTAAGGCATTATTCTTAGCATGCAGTTTAAGGTTCAGGCATGCATTCTGGCTCATAGTGATCAGAAGTAATTTAAATTAGTGGGGGAAGTAGAATGCTTTTGCATTTCATGGAGTAAAATTGTTATACATTTACCTGTTTTTGTACCAGTTTTGTGTTGCGGTTTACCAATTCAATATAGCCCTGCATTTAAAATTCCTTTTCTAAAATTCTGTGGATTTTATTTTTATTGAGAACATAGATATAAAGTACTGTAGCTAACAATTAGGCTTTGAAATGTCTTTAGGAGCTGTTAACAATAAGATTGTATTATGTGTAACCTGCACAATATGGAAAGCTGAAATAGCTGTGCAAAATACTTGCCTCTGTGCTGTCAATGTGATGCGCTTTCTTCATGGTTATATAGTGATTTTTATCAGAATCTCTAAAAATAAGTTACATGGTAAGATCCGTTAAAAGCTGCATAAATGTTGGTTGGCACATGAAGAAAATTGTGAAGTCGATGACGACTGCTCTATTTGTGTTTATTCCCTCTTAACATATTACCTTCTATGCTTTCCTTTTGTTCAAAGCATGATCTTAAAGAGATGTTTAAGTTCACATATGTAATGCAGGGTATCTACACTGTATTGATTGATGCATGTTGGTCGCCCTTTGTGATGTAGTTAAATGCACAAGTGTGCAAGTTTAAAAATACAGAGTGAAATTGGTTTGGATCCTCTTCATTTCATTTGTTCAGCTTTTTTGTAGGTATTTCTTTTTTGTTTGTTGTTGTTGCTGTTTTTCTCTACTTACATGTATTCCTGTAAATAAATCCTTGTTAAGTTAACCCTTTACTTTTCCTTCAATGTGCATTTTCTTATGTACTGTGAATGTGAAATCCTAACTGGTACACTTGATCTTGTGTCCATCTCAAGTCTTTATTAATTTAGAGCATAAAGAGTATCCCATGACGATAAAGGAAAATTGAGAGATTTTTAACTCTCTGACCTCTGCTGGTCAGAGGTGAAGCTACACCTTTCCATTTTTCAAGTGCTGCATAATTAATCTGCAAAACAAAATTAATCCATAACAACCTGTTTATAGATTTAGTTTCTTACCTTTACATTGCAGAATGGATACTGGATAAGTTTTTTTGTGTGTGATTTTTTTGCTTGTTTGTTTTTAAGAACTTGCTCTTCTTTGCATGGTTCTGTTCTTTGAGTGTTAAATGACTTAGTCATTGCACTGAAGTTTGAGCTGTGAGTGTGAACATATGCTGTTTAAAGAGTTGGTTTTTTTACTTTTTAAATGCATGATAGCATGTTGTTGCAGGAAGAACGGCCGAAAGCACTACAGACACTAGTATGGTCAGATCGTGCTCCCCTCTTATTACCCGAATAGCCTAGCTTTTATAGTGAACTTAACAGGGGCGGATAGTGTCTCACACAAGATTATTGGTCAAAAGCACTCAGACAAACAACTGCAAGAAAACAACCTCACCTGTAAGAAAACAACCCCCTTGTGATTAGCAGTCACGTAGACCTTGTCCTTGAAGCCAGCTGCTGGTAACAATATTTTTCTAAATTCCTCAATTGGGCGATGTGGGAACACAGTCATGGGAACTTCTCATAGTCGTCCTGGTAGCTTGGTTTGCTCAGCTGAAGCAAGCCATGGGATCTTTGCTGTTTCAAAAATCCCTCAACAATTCCCCCTTTTTCTTTTTGAGCAAACCAAGCCCGATGTAACAGTTTTGCAAGTAACCCTTTAACCACATTTATTGCAATACAACACGCAATGACGATTAACACCACAATAAACAGGATCCTTAATCCCTCTTCGACTAATCCCAGTAACCATCTATGCATCATTTCAAACAAATCAGTGAGCCATTGATTGAACGGATTGATATCATTTTGAACCTTTCTCATGTGCTCTTTCAGGAAAGTAATGGATTTGTGAATTGACTCATCAGAAAGGCTTAAACAGCACATTCCCTCAAAGTCCTCACACCCATGCCCTTGAGCCAAGAGCAAGAAGTCAACAGCAGCTCGATCCTGTAAGAGCACATGTCGCAGACTATTTTGATCAGGTAACATCACAAGTATCTCTGTCGTGGCATGGGCTTGCTTCTCGGACCAGCATACCAATTTTTCTAAGTTGTTAAGTGCGGCCGCAGATGCCACTCCTGGCACGAAAATTGCCAATGCCACTCTAGCTGCATCACCAAGCAATTCAACATTATTATTGGAATCCAGTGCGAACAATGCCCGTTTATGTCTGTGTCGTGGTTTAACCCGGCCGGCAGCTAAACACCACGCAGCCGTTCGCTCAACCTCCCCCCTCCCTCTCTGGGACGGGGGAGAGAAATGGAAAGTGAAGCCCGTGAGTTGAGATAAAGACAGTTTAATAAGACAGGAAAATAATAATAATAAAAATAATAATAACAATAATAATAATACAATGATGATAATAGTACTACTACTAATAATGTGTACAAACAAGTGATGCACAATGCAATTGCTCACCACCCGCTGACCGATGCTCAGCCTAACCCCGAGCAGTCCGGCCCCCTCCCCCGGCTAGCCACCCCTATATATTGTTTAGCATGACGTCAGATGGTATGGAATACCCCTTTGGCTAGTTTGGGTCACCTGTCCTGGGTCTGTCCCCTCCCAGCTCTTACTGTACCCCCAGCCTGCCCGTTGGCAGGACAGAGCGAGAAGCTGAGATGTCCTTGGCTTAGTATAAGCACTGCTCTACAACAATTAAAACATCGGCATGTTATCAGCACTCTTCTCATCCTAAGCCAAAACACAGCATTCCACCAGCTACTAGGAAGAAAATTAATTCTGTTCTAACTGAAACCAGGACAGTCTGGTGATCTCAAGCAACTGTGACAAGCTTGGAGCAAATATAGTAAGTTTACCTAAGTAACATGGACCTCCGATAGCATTTGCAGGGATACCTTGCCAGGCCCTATCCCCGCAAATCAGAAAAACATCAGGAGGTAAGGCCATAGCCGTAAAATTGTTCCAAATGCTATAGTTGTTACCCCTTGTCTCCGTGCCATAAGCCCCTAAACCCTGCCTAGTAGTGTCATTGTAACCACAGGTGTTATTTGTATTTCTGTGTCCGTATGGCCCTTTCCAAGTTCCTGTAGCAGGATCTTGGTAATTCATTCTTATTTGTGGTAACACATTTGGTGCTGTTCTATTTATTGTTTGAAAATGAATACTTGCAGGAGGGTCTTCTCGGTCACCAGTGAAACGTAAGTGATTCAAGACACCCAATGTCTAGGACAATCGCTCATCGATGTCCTTGATTTCTTTTAATATCACTAATTGTTCCTTTAAAACCTGATGTGATCGTTCAACCATCACTTGGCCTGTGGGAGAATATGGAACACTCATTTTTGGCTGAATCTGTAGGAAAATCCATTCCAGAACTCAAAAATGCTGCCCTATCATTCCACCCTTGCCATCACCTGTGTCACTTATACTACTCCTATTACCCGTGCTATTAGTGTCAGTGGCATCCTCCTGAAACCGTTTCTGTCTTTGTCGCCCCTTACTCTCCCCCTTTTCTTTTTGCCACTGACCAATCACCGCAAATGGATGAGACACGATTGCTAATTAGGAAGGAGAGTGCAACGTCTACTATACGTCTGCTAGCAGTGCCGCCTGCAACCTTAGAAGCTATTTGTGAAACAGCCTGCCGGTGGTCATTTGTTATTGTGATCTGCGGTTCTGCAGTCCTGCACCGCAATAAAGGTAGTAATATAGCTAAGTCGTCATTAGTAATCTGTACAATGTGGCAACCCCACTGAATATTATCCAGGAACATTTGTACATTTATCAAATAATGTAACAGAGTAGTTATAACACCTATCTGGGGACGAATAGTCTTTTTTGCATTGCAAGATACACCTCTCATAAAAAGAATGCTAGAGAGAAGCAGCACAGCCACCGCCGCCTCCATGGTTACGTCAGACGGGCTGCAGGGTTGTGATCTCCGCCCCTCTGCTATGTGCCAACTCGCCACACGGTGGCAGTCGTCTGCCGTTGTTCACTGACGCCTCTGGTCTCCCATAGCAACTCGATCCCGGATGTCCCGCGTCCCACCGCGATTCCTTTGTCCGGGTCGGTGCTTGGAGTTTCTCAATGTCTCTCAGGTATGTCGGCTTTTGTTAGGTCTCTCCGTGTCTCTCAGGGTTGTCCGTGTCTCTGAAGCGTCTCTCAGCGCTCTCCGTGCCTCCGAAGTCTCTCCGTGTGTCTCAGGTCTCAGCTTCTCTCAGCGTCTGTCGGGTCTCTCTCTCAGCGTCTGTCGGGTCTCTCTCTCAGCGTCTGTCGGGTCTCTCAGCCTGTCCGAGCGCCGTATGTTGCAGGAAGAACGGACGAAAGCACGACAGACACCAGTATGGTCAGGTCATGCTCCCCTTTAATTACCCGAATAGCCTAGCTTTTATAGTGAACTAAACAGAGGCGGATAGTGTCTCACACAAGATTATTGGTCAAAAGCACTCAGACAAACAACTGCAAGAAAACAACCCCCTTGTGATTAGCAGTCACATAGACCTTGTCCTTGAAGCCAGCTGCTGGTAACAATATTTTTCTAAATTCCTCAATTGGGCGATGTGGGAACACAGTCATGGGAACTTCTCATAGTCGTCCTGGTAGCTTGGTTTGCTCAGCTGCAGCAAGCCGTGGGATCTTTGCTGTTTCAAAAATCCCTCAACAGCACGTGTTTTACATGCTGCCCCCCCCTTTTTTGTTGGCTTTGCAGGATTGAAGAGAGAGTAGTTCAGACATACTGTATGAAGTATACTCCCTAATACTTGTACATAGTTTTTACTCAATTTGGTCAATGTGAATAACATTGACAATAACAATAGCATGTGATAACTTGCTTTCAAATTACATTGCTAGTTCAGAAGGAATTTTGTATTTACTAATAACTGAAGTAAATTGGTAATGGTTTTAGTCACCTCTAAATCAAATTCTGAAAGAAGGAAAAAAAAAAGCTTTAAGATTTAGCAAAGTGTGGTATTATTTTAGCCCGCAACTTGCTTTAATTTTGAGTATGTTTAAGTATTAGAAAAGGGTTTTAGAGAAATGACATTTAAAATGCAGTAATCATAGATTAGAAAACCTGCCTTATTAACACCAGCATTACAGCTAGAATCTGAGTTTAACTAAACTTTTTAAATTTCAGAAAGCCCTGTTAATCAAATAAAACCACTCCACCTCATCTCAAATTAGTTTAGGATGTAACTTTTGTACATATATATTTTAATTGTACAGATGTGAACTGATTTGGTATAACAGCAAAGAAAGTAATTAAAATAAGGCAAAAATAAACAGTACTGACAAAAAGTAGTCTTTTGTATCAGTAAGTACTCTCATGGTATATCTTAAAGCAAATAAACCATATTTCTATTGCATAATATAGTGCAGAAATTTGCAGAAGCCATTTAGGGTATAATGTGAGGTAAGAGAAGTTCTGAATCAGCATTAACAGTTATATTCCATGAGGCAATACTTTAATTATATTAAAGAGCATCTTAATTCTTGTGGTATAGTCTTGACAATTCTTGAATGTTGATTGAATATTTATTTTGGTAGAACTGTGAGGTTTTGTTACATTCTAGTGTTTCTGCCTCTTAACATGCTAAAAACACTGCTTTCTTCATTTGCTACTTAGACACTGAATAAAGTTCTGTTAGTGTGCTAAACTACAGAAATAGCTGCTGCTAAGTAAATGATGTAGATTTTCTATTTAAATATTTTTGTTGTAGGAACCTCAGGAGGTCAGTGTTTACTAGTTTTACTTTTTTTTTTTTTTTAATATATGCCTCTTTCCTGTTTTGAGTTTCCCTTTCTGAAGGATTCCGAGAGCAAACAAAAGCTGCTGATCAGCTGCTGAACCTAAGTTGTTAACAGAAAATTTATTTAAAATCAGTATAAATGTATCTCTTTGGCAGTTTTAAATTGCTGTTCAATTAGTGTTAGGTGAAGTAGAATCCTGTTTCTTTGTTTTCATTACACATTCAAGAAACAGCTCTTTTCATTTAGGAAAACAAAATTAGAATAGTTCGCTATTTTAACCACTGCAAGCAAAAAAATCAGTTTTGTATTTTTTTTTCCAAAGTTTATTTTCTAAATCAATGAATATGTATATTTTAAAAATATAAGGTAATTCTTATGCTTTAATTTATTGCTCCTTAGAGCTTGTACTTAAAATATCACTTTAGAAGGATGGGTTTAAAATTTAATCATTTTAATTTTTAAATGTTATGAAGTAGCATTATTTTTGTAACTAACAATATTGATACACATTTATTTTATTTTTATTAGGGTTTTTATGTTAGCATCAATCGTTATTACTTAAACTGCATATATTGTATAATAGTGAAATGTATATTCTAAAACTTCAAGTGGATTTCCTCCAGTGAAACTCATTGCTACTTAGAAATATTCAAATACTAGCTTTATCTCAGGTGAATACTCTTTTACCTTTTTTGTTCAGAATACATGCTTATAAAAATGTCTTAATTATTATCAGTTTAAGACAGTGCCTAATATGAAATACATAAACTTATTCTAAATTAACCTTCTACTGTGGGACAATAATGACTTGTGCTTCACCCATTTTATTCATATTGAATGTATTAACAGGTAAAGGTGCAAAAACATTCTTCCCTTGAAGAGAATGCATCCATATTCAAACAACTGAAATATTTCTGGAAAAAATGCTTTAAATGCAACACTATTGGAAATCTTTTATTTCAAATTTTGTCAAGGAAAGAAGTTGCAACTGAATGCTAATTGCCTCAATGCTCTTTCATGTGGATGATAGATGCATAAAGCTTCTATATAGGGTCTAAAGAATAACTTTTTATCTTAAAGGTTAAGCTCTACAATGAAATGACTGCTGTAGATTATAAAACATCCTGCAGTTATCTCAAACATTGATGTTTGTATATGTTTGTTATATATTACATAAGTATTTCCAGTAACTTCATCTTGAGTAAATAAAGCTCAATTAGTAGCTGGGCATTTCACTCACCTATGCATTCACAGAATCACAGAATTGTCTAGGTTGGAAGAGACCTCAAGATCATCGAGTCCAACCTCTGACCTAACACTAACAAGTGAAGTGACCGCGTCCTTGAAGCAGGGCCTCAACGAGCGTAGATGTTGTTTGGGAAGACAGATATTTTCACGAGAGCCCACCCCTCCCCTCGCCTTCCTTTTTCTACCTTTTATTGCTGAGTGTGACATCATATGTTATGGAATATCCCTTTGGTTTGTTTAGGTCAGCTGCCCTGGTGATGTTCCTTCATCACCTCTTGCCCACCCCCAGCCTGCTGGCTCCTGGGGGGTTTAGAGGGAGTCCTGATACTGTTGATTCAAAGATCGAAGCCGAAATTCCTTTAAGTGGTATATTCTTTATTGCAGCGCTGGATGCACGGGGGATCTCTCCACCTATCGTGCATACCCAAAGCGGAAAGCAGTCTTGAATTTATACAATCAATCTATCAATATTCTACAAGCGCCTATACATATGCATTACCTATCCCCGCCTTCCCTCGCTTCTCATGCTAATTAGCCTTTTGGCACCTTGCGCCTGCGTAGAGCCTCCCAAGAATTGTGGGCAGGGGTCTTTGGGACGTGGGCAGGGGTCTTTGGGAGGAAGACCCCGAGTCTTCCTCACAGTGTACTTTTCACCTTTGGTCAGGAATCTGCTGAATTGGCACGTTTCTTAATTGCGAGAGCTGGTTGTTGCCAATTCTTCCGTTTGTTGTATCTTTATAATGAATTCCAATGTCCAATTTTGAGATTTATAGTCCTTACATTTGTTTCTGTGTCCGTCTGCCGCTTCCTTATCATGAGTTCCAGTGTCTTGTTTCGAGATATACAGTCCATGTCTGGGGATTGTCCTTGCCTCCCCAATACCTCCCCAATACCTCCTTAATCAATCCCCCCTTTTCTTTTCCCATGCAAATTCTTTTGCATCAGATACTTTCATTATTTACAGTAACACAACAAAGCAGGCATCTAAACAACATGCACACAAATATTCCTAACACTACTAATGTGATTAGAGCAATGAACACTTGTTCCAACCATTGGAAGTTGGGCAACCAGGCGGTTAACTTATTCCATATTTCACTAAAACTCCATGAAAGATCATCTTTACTGATCTCATGTAGGACCCTTGTCTGCTTCCATATTTCTTCCAGGTCGGTAGAGATCCTTCCACTCTGATCTACATACATACAACAACTTGTATTTATTACTGTACAGACTCCCCCTTGAGCGGCCAGTAACAAGTCTAGGGCCATCCGATTTTGTAATACTACCTGTGATAAACTAGATATCTCTTCTTGTTGAGCCTTTATAGCATCCAGAGTTTTGTTTTCTAACTTCTCTATAATTGCAGAAATATTAACTATTGCCTTTTCCAATTCATTCACTCCTAACCATGGGATAAACCATCGAACAAAACTATGAAAAGCGGTGTGTCTCTCTATCAATGGATTGTTAATTTTTCGTCTAATTCTCCAGATATGATTTCTCAAGTAACCTCGAGGCACTACATCATGTACTGTCATACTGGGGACTACTGCTCCAAGAGTGCAAGTTCCCTTCCAGTTCTCGGGCAAGACCTTACGGGCTGTATCATTGCATAGCCAATACCACCCTTTTCCTTCTGGAACCGGCCAGCTGGTTGAATTTGCCCAGCCGCTAGTCGTACTAATATCAATTGTTCAATTACAAGATGTCTGATTTCCCACATAAGTAGTATCCGTATTTATACAATCCTGTTTTCCCATACCCTTAGGCGGGTTACACCTTTGTACACATACATAGTAAGATTCCAATGGCACGAAGCTACCAACTTCTAGTTCCAAAACTTCTTCATATTTTTGACCCCAAGATGTGTTTTCCCACAAATTCGTCCAAGGTAAGTTTGCAAGCAAGGGAATCCTGATTAACGATACACCCTTATTCCCATGCTGTGGCAGATGGGTGCATACCCAACAGTTTGTCTTATTAATTACTTGAGAAATTGTTTGTATCAGGGACAGGTGTAAGTTCTCATCCCAAACTGCCCACCCCGAATCTGACAACCACACCCCTGCAATCATTAGGATCTGGAAAACCATAA